AGATAATGAATTTTCTCCAGAAAGATTGCAATTTTTCAACGTTTGTTTATTTGTATAAACAAAAAAACAAATGATTTCGAATTATTGCACATTGATTCTTATTCTTGAATGTATAATTGATACCAAAACATGAAAAAAGTTTGAAAATTGAGTGAAAACTACCCCAGTTATTCAAAAAATGGTTACGGAAAAGGTGGCGTTCCACAATGCCACACGTTGTGCTGAAAAAGGGGTAAGATGGTGTTAACGATCATGGTCGTAAATATATACACGTATTGACAAAATAAGAGCGATTTAGACTGCCATTGGCAATGCACCGCCATGTATTATGTATATACATCGATAGTTTCGCAATCGATACGGATCACCCATATATTTCGTTGGAAGTCGAATCAACAACGTCAACATAATAATATACCGATCTAGCGCATTATTGTTTGATGCGTCACCAGATCACCAATAAAACGTTCTACTGAACTTGCTTATTAAAACCTCGTAACTTTCAACTTCGCTTTTCTCACAATCGCATGAGTAATGCGTTTTATATTAACTTTAATGATACTCGACTGATATCTATGAATACTATATGAGTTTCATAGAAATCGATTGGTATCACGTCGTATAGCGACCGGTGAGTCTAGAGTCTTTCTAGTTCCAAGCGCTGTGATTGGCTTGTGTCTAATCGCAATGTGATTAATTGGATGCCACACGGCGCTATGTACTACATCGATAATTGCGCTTACATCGCAATCGATACGGATCGATACCATATATCTTATTTCCATCCTTGATTCGATCATTTTTCATGGTCTTATTTAAGTCTACCATCATGGAGGCTATGGAGGTAAGTATTTACTAAGCATATATTAATTTTTATATTTGATTTCTCTTTATCTTTTTTGGTAATTTGTAGTTAGATGATTTCGAGGACGATTTCGTGTTACGATTTTCCGGCGAAATGCAAGCCCCTCAGCCCGTTTTCGTTAATGCCGTACAGCCATCCGTATCCGTAAGTTACATGTCGCGGGACATTATCATATTTTCTGATTTTATTTAGATGCGGAGGGAAAGTGTGTTATCAGCGCTATTGCATATCTACTTTTATTTAACATTAATAACGATAAAGAAAGTAGAATAATATAATAGAGCGCTGATAGCATACTTCTCGAACAGGTCTTTATCCTCCTCCCCGCCCCTCTCTCACTCCCTCTCTCTCTCTTTTTCTATTATTCCTCCTCTTTCTAACTTATTCACTTATTCATTTACTAATTAATTAATTAACTTGCTCCTTCCTATTGTAAGTCATATGTTTGTTTATAATTCTTACATATACATACAGTATAACAATTAAATGCCCAGACAAATATTTCCACTACTGGAGTTTCAAATGTTGCTTCTGCTATGGCAACGACAAGATCTGTCGTTCCTCCGGCATCTACTACAAGGTCTGCTGTTCCTTCGGCATCTACTGTGACAACTGTAAGCTCTATCGTTCCTGTGGCAGCTACTACAACTACAAGGTCTAACGAAATAATGCAAGCCCCTCAGCCGGTTTTCGTTAACGCTGCACAGCCATCCGTATCCGTAAGTTACATGTAG